ACGGTGCCGGCGACGGAGGCACTGGGCTCGTCAACAGAAGTTTTTTTTGGAATGAGTCAAATGTTCCTGATATCTGAATTTATAGAATGAAAGTAAGGGAAGGGAGGGAAAATTCAAAATTTGAATTCAAATTTTTTTTTTTTGGTTGGCGGCAAATAGCAATTTGGTTGGCGGCAAATAGCCGTTCACTTTCCAAAACGATGACAACTGATTGCATTTGTGTTTCCATATACTCAAAATTTTCAATATTTGGTTCAAATGAACAATTAGTTAGAAGTGAGCTAAAAATAGATCGTCTATCATTTATGATATGGTTTCTAAAATGATGTTGGTCCTGAAGCATCAATTTCCTAAAGAGAAACCAATGACGACTCGCGTCAAAAGACTTCGCGAGATGTGACGAAGATGAATAACACCATCACGAACCAAGTCCGAATATAGTGAATGTGGACCTCTATGTGCTTCGGGCGGTTATGGAGAACCAAACTCTGATAACATGTTAAGAAACGAAATATGAACCACAAAAACTCGGTTTTACCTTATATCGCTGAAAGGTTCAGGACTAATCCATGGGAGATCCTAAAGACTCTCCCAGCTGTTGATAGTTGTTGCTTGAGGTTGAACAACAGTACAAAGAACAATATATAAGGCCGACTCTCCTCGTCCCATTCGGATATCAACAAACCCTACGTAGACATAAGGGTCGAAGGCTACGTGAGTGTACACCTGCATGGGCCAAACATGTGCCACTCATGGGCTGGACCTGCGAACAATCTATGCCCATCGGTGGCATTTGCAAATGAAGTTGTGATGATGCTATTGCTAACAAGCGTGACTGATTGGGCGACCGAGCTATTGTGATATTATTATTCCTAATTGTGATCAACATCGTTGCTTCCCCTTGCATCACTGTCAAAGTTGTGATGATGCTATTGCTAACAAGCGTGACTGATTGGGCGACCGAGCTATACGAACGAAACTCGCGCCACTCTATCTTGAACATCGCTTATATAATGCTTCAGAATAAACGACAATGTTCAACCCACCGTCGATGTTGTTGTACTCGTCAACTTTCAATAACCCTAACTAGTATACTTTATCATTCTCCATCACGAAATTAGTTTCTTCCATCGTTTTAGATCTATAAATGTAACTTGATTAAGTATGCATATATACACTGTTGGCCAGAATGTATATATGATGGTTTCTATCATATATTGGGTGAATGGGTGTCGCAACCGTCCCTCAGGGGGTCCGAATGTCGTCGCGTTGGCATTTTTGGAGTAGCCATCAATCTTACTTACAGTGGATCGAACACTCTTCTTTCGGTTCTAACCTTAGAGTCAGAACCAGGGCTTGGTCTGCGATATAAAAATATAGAAATCTAGGTTTGGGAGTACGATTACATGTGGGAAAGTGAAATCACACCTCACAACGCCCTAAATCGATACTACTTAAGTTTAATAAGTTTATATTAGTTGGGTGTAATTTTAGTAATAATTTAGTAATTTTAGGGGTCCCACTGGACCGTTGAATAATTTTATCGTATTAGTTTATTATTAGGTATTTTTAGGGCCTTACCGGACCACTAAAGAATTTAAATGGTATTATTTATAATTTAATGATACGCCCATTGACGTAGAAATTGAAGATAAATTTGATTAATTAGCTGGACTCGAACCTTATCGGTTGCCTACGTACCCGTTAGACGGGACCAAAGTCCACGTACTTCGTTAGAACTTTGATAATTTAATTGTAACCACGTTCCACCGATCGTGATCCCCGTATTAAGAATTTTGTTAATAAAACTTCATTTAGATTATTATAAGGTTATGACAATAAATGCAAGTATTTTAGTTATTAGGAAGTATTTTAACGTATTGGAAATAAAACAATATAAACTTAATCCGCATTCAACATTTCGTATTAAGAATTTAAAACAAATAAAACTGAATGCGATGATTATAATTAAGCATGATGGGCCAACACCCCAACTGGCTAAAGTGCCAGATTAGGCCGAGTTCGACCCTGAGATTGTGGGTTCGAAACTCGCTGCCTACATTTTTCATTAATTCTCGTTTTGGTGCAAATGGTTTTTTCATTAATTCTCGTTTTGGTGCAAATGGTTGTCACGCCGGCCGGCGTGCCACCGGTTGTACCGGGTTCAACCGATACCGGTCATAAAACCGGCGTGACACCACCGGTATGTCCGGCATGATCGATATACGAATCTCTAAGTAAAATGAATTTATTTTAGAGAATTTAATTGATAAAAATTTTATTTTATTATTTATTTTATTAGTATAAAAGTTAAATATTAATGTTATTTGTTGGATTCAAGTATAAATGTTTAATATTGACGTTAAATGTCATGTTTAAATATGAGTATTTATAATTTTATTTGTAATATGAACCGGCATGAACCGGCACAAACCGGTATGTGCCACCGGTTGAACCATTCCACTGGCTAAACCGGCACACTGGCATAAACCAGTTTGACAACCTTGGGTGCAACAAATTAGGGGGAAGGGTATTTTGCTGATTACACAAAAACACGGTGGCAAGGCCGAGAAATAAGCTGAAAACCCTAGGGGCATTCTTGTCTTTTTAAAGCTCACAGTATATAAATGTTTTAACCCTAACCCTAACCCTAATCAATCCTAGCAACACCGCCCTTTCCTTCTTCTTATGCTTTGGCACTAATCCTCTAGCCGCAACCAGAGACTGAGCAAAAATCTGAATAAGAAAATTCTTTCGTCTCGCATCCCTATTCTTCCTCTCTCTCGAAGGACGAGAGGTCTGAAAAAAACGACGACCCTATCGCACTCCCTCCGACGACTCGGTTCAAGTCAATCCGACGCGGGGAACTCCGATTTAGGTAAAATCGGCGACATGCACAACCCTTTTATCTCTGTTTCTCTTATTATTATTTGGACTCTACTAAATTTTCTGGTTTTTTGGTTATTTGCGAGGGGGAAGTGAGATCGACAGCGCTCGGACCTCGTCGGTAGGGATAGCGAGCCTTGCCGCCGACTGAAATGGGGTAAGCTTGGAGTTTTTTATTTCATTTTTGCTTTGTTGTTTTTCGTATTCTGACCTTTTTTTTATTTCTGGGTTTTCTTCTGGATTTCGGTGGGAGGAGAAGAGACGACAGACGGCGGCGACTATGGGCTTGGTCGCTGGCGAGGGCGACCTCAGAACCGGCGACAAACCGCGGTAGGCTTTACGGATTTTGTTTTTTTTTCCGGTTTAGATCTACACTGAATGTTTTTCTTTTTCTTGCAGATATGCCGTGAGCAAGGTTGTTAAACCCCTATCGAACCCCCCGGTTGGACCCGGTTCAACCCGAGTCGGGCTTCAAAACGGCCTCCAGAAAACCCCCCGGTCTGACCCCTAAACAGGGAGAAGAAGAGAGGCAGAAGAGAGGAAAAGGAACGAAGGAAGGGAAATGGTAGGTGGATCATGGAGGTTAGGTAGATTTATTTTGTTGAAAATAAGTTTTTAATAGATATATGTAAGATAAATTTTAATTCACTCATTAAATTTTTAATTACTACTTTATTTGTATATATATTTAGAAAACGTCTAAAACGGCTCAAACCGGCCGGACCCCGATCAGACCATTAAACCTCAAACCCCTTGCTTGACCGGCTCAATGACTTAAACCGGTTTGACAACCTTGGACGTGAGTCCAGATCTGGGTGAGGTTTGCTAACCCTAACTTGATGGGATTAATGGGATGTAACTAAAATAAATAAAAAAACTCGGTGATTTATAGTTTTGTTTATCGATTTCAGTCTTGAAAAATGGCTTTTGCTGATCTTGACTTGCTAATCCGCGAATATGGGTATTTTATATGAAGATTATTTTTTATGAATTTAGGAGTGATTTATAGATCTGTGTTTTTGGTAAAAAAAATGGTTGCTTAAGTTCGCTTTAGAATCTTGACTATGCCAATCGGTTTCATAAAAGACATCATTAGTTTTATTTATAACAGGGTAAATCATTAATTATGACAACCACTCCTTGTGATTTAATTAGACTAATAATGACTGCAAATCGCTACTACTGCTTGTGTTTTAATTAGATTAGGGGTTTTTTTTTTGTTGATTTTAAAAAACTAGTGAGAGTTTGTGAATCTGAAATTTTTTTGTGTTTATGGTTTGCTAGATCTGGATTTTGATTTAGTTTGCTTATGTATGATGATCTTGTTTTTATTGTGTTGTTGCAAGGAAAAGAGTTTTTGAATCTCTGTATGTTTTCTTTTTCTCCTCCAATCCCCCCCCCCCTTTCCTCAACAATGAATCCAATAAGCTCATTTATACCAAAAGGAGTGTGCCACGTGTCATTTGTTGATTGGTCGTTGCTGAGGCTGAAATTGTGTTGTCTCTTCTTGATTGGTCGAATTTTAAGGCCGCATCTCAAGATTCCAGCTACAAAAGTCGGTTCTGACATGTCAAGTAGAATGTGGGCTGAGTCAAATTTGGATAATGTTGGGCCGACTTGGGCCTGGAGTTATTGGCCGATCTGGACTTTGTTTGGGCCGGGTTTGAATTTGGCATCAGATCTGGAATTGGACTTTCACCCTTGGGCCTGAACTAGGTTCAAGATTTTAGTTTGGGCTACAACGAACATGTTTTCCTATCTTTTATTTTTGCAGGTACACAATTTGTTTGCGCTTAAAGTACGAGGATAATGACTTCAATTTGTTGAGTCTAATATGTTTGTAATTAGTTTATTGTAATTAGTTTTAATTCTTTATTATGGTGTCTTTTTTTTTATTTCTGAGTGATATCATTGGAGAAAAATAGTTAAACTTACAATTCTACCCAGGACCGGTAAAAGACTCTAAAGAAGCCACCCCAAAAAAATCAAAAGATTCTACCTCTAAAGGATACAAAAACAGTGCTTTACGCGCCACTCTATGGGCAGCACTGTTGGCGGATCTAAGTACCGCCCTAAACTCTATACAAACAGACAAAGAGCTAAGGATCTGATGACACTCTCGTAACGCCGGACCACCAATCGAGTCTTCTAGGATGCCTTGACGAACTTGTTTGACGACCACTTCGGAATCACCTTCGACTATCACGCGGGTCAAGGATCTTGAGGCTACGATGGAGATAGCATCTCTAAAGACTAGAAGCTCTGCCAGGTAAGGATTGACTATTCCTTGAAGCTGCAGCCCAAACGCCAACACCACATGCCCGTCTGACCCACGGATAACAAGCCCAGACGAACAACTAGTGGCACAAACAGCAGCGTCGAAGTTTTCTTCTCAATTCAATTTCTCACAATTCATCTACCATTCCCAAATCCAAAGCGTGCAACAAACTTTGCACCATAATCATTTTTTCGTCCAATTGAGACAAAACTTAACAAACTTACAGCTCAACATGGAATTGATGTTAAGATTTGCTACTGCTAATCTTAACAAATCTAATCTTACTAGCCTAAACAACTCGGTGATTACTAGTGTTCACTGACTCGTCACTGCTAGTTTCAACCAAAGTTTCAACCAAAAGGATATTTATATTAAGTGAACTTGGAAGTAATTGACTTGCCACTGCAATCTCAACCAAATCTTCACAAGCATCCTTTTCAATTTATCAATATCAATTTTCTTCTTTCGAGTTTTAAGTATAGTGTGTGCCCGGACAAAATATGGTTTCTACATTAGTAAATATATGGTACCATATACCATTAGGAAGAAAACTCTATCTAGACCTCAAATTAACCGGATTTTCGGTCGTGAGACTATACTCGCAATGGAGTCACAATCTAGCGTCTATGTAAAAGCGAAATGATGTGTAAAAACGGAAGCGCCAAAGCAAAGCATAAAAGCGTAACCTATTAACATCAATAAATTTGAAACAAATATATATATATATGGTGTCGTATTCGGTGCACCCACTTTTTCGGGTGCACTGAGTGCACCCGCCTCATAATTGTCATTCTGACCATGCGATTCATGTCAATATGGTATCAATTGTTGCTTATGATATTATGAATAAGAAGCACATGAATTTGAAAAAAATTCATTCAAAATTTACTTTAATTTGAAGGATTTAGGATTTAGGGATTTAGGGTTAGGTTTTAGGTTTATAATTTGGGATTTTGGGTTGGGATTCAAAATTGAATGTTAAGGGGTTAGGGAAATGGATTAATTTGTTATGATTCTATGTCATATCATCATATTATATTGAGAGTACTAATTAAAGTTCAAAATTTGATGTATTATTGACGCTTTTAGAGTTGGGTGCACTGAGTGAACCCAAAAAGTGAGTGCACCGAAGTAGGCACTATATATATATATATGTGTGTGTGTGTGTGTGAAAAATATAAATAAATAAGTGAACTTGCTAATATATTAAAGTTTCCCCTCGCATAGATAAACTAAATTAATTGAACTTTAAACAAGAATTAACCACCTTCATGCTGCCTTCGAGAAAAATAAGAGAGGAGGAAACAATCAGCAAATGTTGAGTCTATGAGGGTTATAGGCAAGCTTCCCTAATAAGGGTCTTTGATCCTTATTTATTTTATTTTACTTTTGGAACACGGTTCTAAAAGTTTGTAATGCGGGTCTCAAAATTTGGAACGGTCCAAATTGAATCAACCCATAGAACACCCCTACAATATTGTCCCAAACTCGGACATCAAAAGACTAAAAAATATGTGGATTTAGTAGGTGCTGAAACTTTAAATCTACATTTTTTCTTGGTAAATATAGAAAATATAGGATTCAAACTTTTATTAGCTGACGAGACAGTCTATATGTCGGACAAATATTCTCAACTCAAAAGAAACAAAAGGAAGAGGGTTTGTGTATCCGGGCTTCGCAATTTGGCCTAAGGATTAACGACAAACTATAGCAGAAAGGATTACGTACGAAAGCTAATCTTTACATTCCTGTTTCTCACGCAAAATCAAATTTGGAGTCTTAATTCCTGCCGCCCGGATTTGGCTGTGTATATAAACCTTGATCGACACCACTCTCCGTTGAGTATTAACTTACAAAGCTTTTTAACTCACAGTTCAAAAGCAGAAGCAAATTTTCCTCAACATATAAATTTGTAGCTATGGCTTCGAAAGCTTGTATTTTGTTGTTCGTGTTAGTCGCTGCTTGCCTTCTAGTCTGCAGTAGCTCTTCGGGGCTCCGACTTTCAGCAACCAAGTCATCACCGCTCCCTTCCACAGCTTCGGTTAAGGTTGACGGCGTCCATCAGGTGATTTCACGATCGGTGCATGCATGCGTTCTTTTTGACTTCCTGCCATGTTAATGAAAAAGTTGGAACTACGCAGCAGCTTGATATATATTGTTAATTATATGATTCATGTACGTAGTTAACCAGCCACACAAATATATCTAATCTAATCTAATCTAATCTAATCGTGTATTGGTTTTATATATAGGCGGCCAGTGACACCTCCCCGCCAGCACCGTTGTATTCGAATGTTGCGGGAGTAAACGGAGATGAAATTGATTGTGACGGTGAGAAACCTAAAAAAAAACAGCATGACGCACCATCTCCCGGGGACGACAACTAATACATAAATCTGATCAAACCAATACATATGGACACCAATCAAGATTGTCGTAGTTTCATGTGTCATACAAATATACTGAATTATGTGGACCTCATGTTTCATACGATTCACACTTCCCAAGCATTACAATATGTGTCGTAATAGCTAATCGTGTGACATATATACTTACTATAATAAAAAAGGGTATGCACAACCCAATTTTTCTCTTAATCTCAGTTCTTGCGGTTTGAATCATTTTCAAGTTGTAGTTTTCAATGTTGAATGAGTAGCAAACTCCTATCTTCCTTATTTAATTGCCAAGTAATTTTATCAATAAATTTGCTTAAAACATATTTATTTTTTGCTTGATTATGCTCGTGTACATGAAATAACACAATTACATTGTTAATGAAAGATAATAAATTTATTCTTAAGTAACACAAGAACAAGATTTTTTTTAATCGAATAGGTTCACGATATGGTATTTAAGTGTTTCACTCAATGTCTATTGTTTTTTTTTTTTTGTGATATGGGTATCTCAGGTTGGTCTAACAATGATATTTTTGTATATAAAAGCAGGTTGAAAATTGTACATAGTAGTATGTATTAGAACTTTTGCATGTCGGAGAGATATTTTTTACACGAAATATAGTCGACAATTTTATGTAATAGTTATGAAATTCAGAATGACAAATGTTTTAGAATCTGTTGAATATTAAAAATATCACAACACGGACAATTGCTCACTTCCATTAGGTTTTTACTTCAGAATGCAACTTTTTATGTGGAATGTGACATTAAGTTTTCCAAAACGATGACAACTAATTGCATTTGTGTTTCCATAAACTCAAAATTTTCAATATTTGGTTCAAATGATCAATTAGTTAGAAGTCAGCTAAAAATATATCGTCTATCATTTATGATATGGTTTCTAAAATGATGCTGGTCCTGAAGCATCAATTTCCTAAAGGGAAACCAATGACGACTCGTGTCAAAAGACTTTGTGAGATGTGACGAAGATGAATAACACCATCACGAACCAATTCGGAATATAGTGAATGTGGACCTCTATGTGCTTCGGGCGGTTATGGAGAACCAAACTCTGTTAACATGTTAAGAAATGAAATATGAACCACAAAAACTCGGTTTTACCTTATATCATTGAAAGGTTCAGGACTAATCCATGGGAGATCCTAAAGACTCTCCTAGCTGTTGATAGTTGTTGCTTGAGGTTGAACAACAGTACAAAGAACAAATAAGATGTCACCGAAGTTGAGGAGTTGGGAGCTAACTTCACCCAAATCCAATGTGATGTTCAAGATTTGGGGGCTAGATTGGCAAGCTTGGAGATCGGATATGAAGGGTTGCGTGAAGAGCTTTTGGCCCTCATCAACAACACCATCTCTACCTCAATGAACAACGCGATTGAAGTTGGGAAAGGAGACTATTCAGGCTGAGCTGGCCATCATGAAGGAGGAGATTGGAGACCTCAAGTGTGAGGTTACTCTTGTGAAGAGGGCCATGGCTAACGGACATGCCGCGGTGCAAGCCACCTCAACCATGGATATTCCAAGACCAAAGAGCTTGAAAGGGTCGATGAATGCAAGGGAGTTAGAGAACTTCCTATGGAGCTTGGAGCAATACTTCAAAGCTTTGGGTATTCGAGATGAGAATACCAAAGTAAAAAATGCACCTCTTTATTTAAGTGATGTTGATATGTTGTGGTGGAGAAGAACCCAAGGCGATATAAGTAAAGGGACGTGCGTGATGTTTTGATAGAATGAATATAGCTATCATTGAAATGAGCTTTTCTAGCGGTGCAATGTCAAAATTCTACCAATACTAGTCCAATAACAAATACTCTGATTTATAAAAACAACCCACGAAGTGATCATATAGAACCAAACAATTGTTTCTCGGTCCACACTTCTACTAGCAATGTTCGAATGAGGACTAGGACCACGAACTTAATTTCCTTCCTTTGGCTACTATCTTGCTCCATCAAACACCTTGTATCGACATGCCCTGCAACACTTGGAATTATCATATGCAGATTTCTAAATTTCCAACCAGAATGATGCATCACTCATTCTGCTCGCGGGACAGATGCATAAATCTCGAATCTTGAAGTCACAAAATGAGAGTGCAGCAAACTAAAAGTATAAAGCCCAAAATCCGAACTCTGAAACCAGTCTCTGATATCCATTGTCGAAATCGACTAATTTATTGACATGATATTGTTTGCTTAAGGTCAGTCCATACGGGTTTACTTTTGAGTTCGTTTCGAAAAGTCCTCATACTAATGGAGGTTGGTGAACAAATATATACATAGGTTCTTTCTATCGTGTTGGCAATGTGGTACTGGATTTATACCAAAGAGATTGATTTTTCGTCACAAGCTTCACATCGTTTTAGCTATTTATTGGAAGCTATCTCTAGAGTCAACGTAGTAACAACCCCGTGTTTATCTCCACATTCTCCCCTTCTATTCACCATCTAGGTTACCTTCCTTGATTAAATGAATAGTATACTTTGGGTTAGTGAATTGTGGATTGGGGTTCACCAATTAGGAGTATAGTAAAACTCATCGTACGGTAGTATAATATACGCCCAGTTGTACGCTAGCCTTTCCATATATTATATATATATATATATATATATCTTGGATTTTGGTTTGTTTTCTTAGGTTCAAATCGGCGGCAAGAGACTGGCGAGGAAGACATCAAAGATGCAAACCATGGAGCCAAACGTTGAAGACGCTATGAGACAGCTATTAGCATAGATGCCTTAGGTGGGAGTTATGCTTCTAACCATGTGCTGATCAGAGTTCGAGTTCTCGAGCGCAACAGAGTTTGGGTTCTGAGTAGGTTTTGAAACTTTAAATCTTGAGTTTGGTTGCATTGTATACCCAAACCTTTAATTAGTTAACTTTAATTCCATCGGCCTCTCCCATCCAAACGAGCATCCATCGATATATATTTATATATAAAAATCTATGATCTCTGTTAAAGTAAACTAATGGAAGAGAGTACGTGTATATGTGTTAATGCGATAATATATCCTATATAGAATTCAAACTTTGATTAGCTGACGAGACAGTCTATAGGTCTGACAAATATTCTCAACTCAAAAGAAACAAAAGGAAGAGGGTTTGTGTATCCGGACTTCGCAATTTGGCCTAAGGATTAACAACAAACTATAGCAGAAAGGATTACGTACGAAAGCTAATTCTTTACATTCCTGTTTCTCACGCAAAATCAAATTTGGAGTCTTAATTCCTGCCGCCCGGATTTGGCTGTGTATATAAACCTTGATCGACACCACTCTCCTTTGAGTATTAACTTACAAAGCTAAAACTCACTGTTCAAAAGCAGAAGCAAATTTTCCTCAACATATAAATTTGTAGCTATGACTTCGAAAGCTTGTATTTTGTTGTTCGTGTTAGTCGCAGCTTGCTTTCTAGTCTGCAGTAGCTCTTCAGGGCTCCGACTTTCAGCAACCAAGTCATCACCGCTCCCTTCCACAGCTTCGGTTAAGGTTGACGGCGTCCATCAGGTGATTTCACGATCGGTGCATGCATGCGTTCATTTTGACTTGCTGCCATGTTAATGAAAAAGTTGGAACTACGCAGCAGCTTGATATATATTGTTAATTATATTATTCATGTACGTAGTTAACCAGACTCACAAATATATCTAATCAAATCGTGTATTGGTTTTATATATAGGCGGCCAGTGACGCCTCCCCGCCAGCACCGTTGTCTTCGAATGTTGCGGGAGTAAACAGAGATGAAATTGATTGTGACGGTGAGAAACCTCATAAAAAACAGCCTGACGCACCATCTCCCGGGGACGACAACTAATACATAAATCTGATCAAACCAATACATATGGACACCAATCATCATCGTAGTTTCATGTGTCATACAATTCATGAAACTTTCCAAGCATTTGTCGTAATAGCTAGTCGTGTGACAGATATACTTATTATAATAAAAAGGGTATGCACAACCCAATTTTCCACTTAATCTCAGTTCTTGCGGTTCGAATCATTTTCAAGTTGTAGTTTTCAATGTTGAATGAGTAGCAAACTCCTATCTTCCTTATTTAATTGCCAAGTCATTTTATCAATAAATTTGCTTAAAACATATTTATTTTTTGCTTGATTATGCTCGTGTACATGAAATAACACAATTACATTGTTAAAGATAGATAAGAAATTTATTCTTAAGTCACACAAGAACAAGATTTTTTTTTAATCGAACAGGTTCACGATATGGTATTTAAGTGTTTCACTTAATGTCTTTTTTTTTGTTTGTGATATGGGTATTTTGACATCTCAGGTTGGCCGAACAATAATATTTTTGTTTATAAAAGTATGTTGAAAATTGTACATAGTAGTATGTATTATAACTTTTGCATGGCGGAGAGATATTTTTTACAAGAAATATAGGAAAATGTAAAAGTTATGCAATTCAGGATGACAAATGTTTTATAATCTGTTGAATATTAAAAAAAATAACCACACGGACAATTGCTCACTTCCATTAGGTTTTTACTTCAGAATGCAACTTTTTATGTGGAATGTGACATTAAGTTTTCCAAAGGAGGTTGCTATTTGCCGCCAACCAAATTGCTATTTGCCGCCAAACAAAAAAAAAAGAGTATATATATACATCTTTGGGTAAGGAGTTTCACAATCTACAACATATCCAACTTTCAGAGAACGTATTGAATCAGAAAAATTCAACTCTCGCCGGAAAAGTCGCCGGAAAATCATCGGGAAAGCGTATCCTCGACATATACTGCGTACACGCATCAATGAATCATCACTAAGCAGGTGCGTAATTTTTTTTAGTTTCGAACAATTTTTCCGACGATTTGAAACGAACAGACTGTGGGCCGAAAATTTCCGGCGGCCTGAACCTGGCTGGGCCAAAAATTTCCGGTGGCCGGAACCTGGCCGGGCCGAAAAATTCTGGCGGCCGGAACCAGGCTGAGCCGCAAGATATTTTCGGCTCAGCCTGGCTCCGGCCGCCGGAATTTTTCGGCCCACCATCTGTTTTTGCAATTTTCCGGAAAAATTCGATTTTAGGAGTTGAATTTAGATTTTAGGAGTTGAATTTAGAGTTTAGGAGTTGAATTTAGCGTTTAAGAGTTGAATTTAGCGTGTAAGAATTGAATTTAGAGTTTAGGAGTTGAATTTAGCGGTTAAGACTTGAAATTAGCGTTTAGGTTCACAGGAATATTGATGTATTATATTGTAATTGTAGGAAAAATGTCAGAGTTGTTACCGACCGATCATGATTACACACAGGAATTTGAGAATGGGATCCATTATGCAAGTGTGGAGTTAGCTGAGTTAGCTGCAAAAACAATCGCTCAGCAGTGTGGGTTCTTTATTATTAGAGGAGCATGGAAACCGAATACTGTTGGACAGAATCCTGTTACTGCCCTCTGTATGTATTGCGACAGAAGTAGTAGGATCGTTAAGTCTTATAAACCAGACCCTACGAAGGAGACGCGTGGGAATATTAGTTCGAAGGGTACTGGTTGCCAGTTTCAGATATGTATAAAGGAAGTATGGCAAAAGGATGGTCCAAACACATGGGTCATGGTGGGAGTGACAAGTCGTGAAACCGGAGCTAATAGAGGGTTTCACAACCATGAAAAGGTGTTGTATCCAGAACATCACCGACACAACAAACAGTTTAGTGAGGCTGAAAAAGAGAGGTTAAGATTAATGAGGAAGGCGGGGGTGAGACCAAATCAGCAGAAGACGACACTCAATACTGAAGGGGGTGTGCATCATGATATCAAACAGATGTACAACATAAATTCGAAGACAAGATTGGATGAGATGGGTGAAATGGATGCGATACAGTTTGCGCTTCACGGAGCTGAACATCGTGGGTACCATATCTGTTTGCAAAAGGACTCTAATAATGTGCTCACTAATCTGTTTTTTGCGCACCCGACGTCCATTCAGATGTTGCATGCATGGCCGTACGTCATCCTCATTGACTCGACCTACAAGACCAATAGGTACGGCTGGCCATGGGTTGAGATTATTGGGGTTACTCCAGTGAAGACGAATTTCAACATTGCACGTGCAATTATTAAGCAGGAAACAAAGGAAACATATGAGTGGCTGCTGCGATGTATTAAAGGGTTGCTCGGTGATACGGTTCCGAATGTCATTGTGACAGACAAAGAAGGTGGTTTGCTTGCTTCTATTCCTGTGGTCTTCCCTCTCCCACATACTGGAGACCTGACTGCTGAACCAGATTCTCCGCCTCAACATGACTAAACACGTAGCTACTCAAATAAGCAACCGCCGATGTACGGCTGTAGCAACTGATGACCCCTCGATCTCCAGCCCCCGTCCAAAGCAATAGGCAACGTGGCCACGAAAGCTCCTAATGAGGCTAGGATCCGTAGGTCCACCAGGACACTCACCAACAAGCTCCCACGGTGGAGGACCACTCGAACGTCCTCACCTACTCCGTCCAGTCCCCGAGCTCTCTGTCTCCTGACGAGCAGGTGGTACGAATCGCCCAGCTCGGTCCCTATACATAGCAGGACGTGATGTTGCCGTACGAGACGGCACTCGTCCATGTCCACGCGTAGGTGGAGGGACCTCGATATCCTCATCACTATCGTCCTCATCAAACTCAGCCGAGACCACTCTCGATGCAGCACCCTGGTTCCTCCCATGGGAACCAGACGCCCGTGATGCCGAACGAGAAACTACAGTAGGAGCCTCTAACTCATCCTCCCCCTAAATTTGCCTGTGACTGATGTCCAATATCTCGAGAGCGCTTATTCTCCTTATTCTTCCTTCGTGCTGATGCATCAACAATCCTACCATTGAATCTATACAACTTATCCCCACCCGCATCACCCGCATCATCCATATCTAATTATCTACAAATTTACAAAATATCATACTTAGATGCGCACTAATTAATTAATTTTCTATTAACTAATGTAATATTAACATTAATTGTTAATTAATCACAAATTAATTTAATTTCTATTAACTAATGTACTATTAAAATTAATTGTTAATTAATCACAAATTAATTAATTTTATATTAACTAATGTAATATTAACTTTAAATGTTAATTAATCACAAATTAATTAAATTTCTATACTAATTAATCACAAATGTACTGAATATTAACATTAATTGTTAAATCAATTCTTAATTAATTAAAATTCCATTAACTAATCTAAGTAATTAAACATTCAAACGCCTATTACAAAAAAAACATTTATGGACCAACTTAAATAAATATTAACACTAATTGCTAATTTCTATTAACTAATTAAGTAATTTTTTATTTACTAATAAGTAATTTTTTATTTACTAATTAATTATTGTATTAAATTAAATTAAAAACTGGCCGGGCCGAAAAAATTATGCGGCCGGTGCGCCGCCGGGCCGAAAAGAGTTTGCGGCCGGTGCGTCGGCCGGCCGAAAAAAATTTGCGGCCGGCGCGACGTCGGGCCGAAAAACATTTGCGGCCGGTGCGACGGCCGGCCGAAAAATTCTTTCGGCTCGACGTCGCTCCGGCGGCAAATTTTTTTCGGCCGGCCGACGAACACGCCGCCGCAAATTTTTTGGGCGGCATGGTCGGCGACCGGCCGAAAAAAATTTGCGGCCAGGTCGTCGCCGGGTCGAAAGGTTTTTTTCGGGCCGCAGGTTTTTTTCAGCCCACCCTTTTTTTTGCCGGAAAACTGGAAAACTTGCCGGAAAACTGGAAAACTGGCTGGAAAACTGGAAAACTGCCCGGAAAAAATAAACTTACTTGTTTTCCGACGATTGAGGGCGACGGGTGGTTAGCCGACGACGGAAGAACGGTGCCGGCGACGGAGGCACTGTGCTCGTCAACAGAAGTTTTTGTTGGAATGAGTCAAATGTTCCTGATATCTGAATTTATAGAATGAAAGGAAGGGAAGGGAGGGAAAATTCAAAATTTGAATTCAAATTTTTTTTTTTTTTGGTTGGCGGCAAATAGCAATTTGATTGGCGGCAAATAACCGTTCACTTTCCAAAACGATGACAACTGATTGCATTTGTGTTTCCATATACTCAAAATTTTCAATATTTGGTTCAAATGAACAATTAGTTAGAAGTGAGCTAAAAATAGATCGTCTATCATTTATGATATGGTTTCTAAAATGATGTTGGTCCTGAAGCATCAATTTCCTAAAGAGAAACCAATGACGACTCCCGTCAAAAGACTTCGCGAGATGTGACGAAGATGAATAACACCATCACGAACCAAGTCCGAATATAGTGAATGTGGACCTCTATGTGCTTCGGGCGGTTATGGAGAACCAAACTCTGATAACATGTTAAGAAACGAAATATGAACCACAAAAACTCGGTTTTACCTTATATCGCTGAAAGGTTCAGGACTAATCCATGGGAGATCCTAAAGACTCTCCCAGCTGTTGATAGTTGTTGCTTGAGGTTGAACAACAGTACAAAGAACAATATATAAGGCCGACTCTCCTCGTCCCATTCGGATATCAACAAACCCTATGTAGACATAAGGGTCGAAGGCTACGTGAGTGTACACCTGCATGGGCCAAACATGTGCCACTCATGGGCTGGACCTGCGAACAATCTATGCCCATCGGTGGCATTTGCAAATGAAGTTGTGATGATGCTATTGCTAACAAGCGTGACTGATTGGGCGACCGAGCTATTGTGATATTATTATTCCTAATTGTGATCAACATCGTTGCTTCCCCTTGCATCACTGTCAAAGTTGTGATGATGCTATTGCTAACAAGCGTGACTGATTGGGCGACCGAGCTATACGAACGAAACTCGCGCCACTCTATCTTGAACATCGCTTATATAATGCTTCAGAATAAACGACAATGTTCAACCCACCGTCGATGTTGTTGTACTCGTCAACTTTCAATAACCCTAACTAGTATACTTTATCATTCTCCATCACGAAATTAGTTTCTTCCATCGTTTTAGATCTATAAATGTAACTTGATTAAGTATGCATATATACACTGTTGGCCAGAATGTATATATGATGGTTTCTATCATATATTGGGTGAATGGGTGTCGCAACCGTCCCTCAGGGGGTCCGAAGTCGTCGCGTTGGCATTTTTGGAGTAGCCATCAATCTTACTTACAGTGGATCGAACACGCTTCTTTCGGTTCTAACCTTAGAGTCAGAACCAGGGCTTGGTCTGCGATATAAAAATATAGAAATCTAGGTTTGGGAGTACGATTACATGTGGGAAAGTGAAATCACACCTCACAACGCCCTAAATCGATACTACTTAAGTTTAATAAGTTTATATTAGTTGGGTGTAATTTTAGTAATAATTTAGTAATTTTAGGGGTCCCACTGGACCGTTGAATAATTTTATCGTATTACTTTATTATTAGGTATTTTTAGGGCCTTACCGGACCACTAAAGAATTTAAATGGTATTATTTATAATTTAATGATACGCCCATTGACGTAGAAATTGAAGATAAATTTGATTAATTAGCTGGACTCGAACCTTATCGGTTGCCTACGTACCCGTTAGACGGGACCAAAGTCCACGTACTTCGTTAGAACTTTGATAATTTAATTGTAACCACGTTCCACCGATCGTGATCCCCGTATTAAGAATTTTGTTAATAAAACTTCATTTAGATTATTATAAGGTTATGACAATAAATGCAAGTATTTTAGTTATTAGGAAGTATTTTAACGTATTGGAAATAAAACAATATAAACTTAATCCGCATTCAACATTTCGTATTAAGAATTTAAAACAAATAAAACTGAATGCGATGATTATAATTAAGCATGATGGGCCAACACCCCAACTGGCTAAAGTGCCAGATTAGGCCGAGTTCGACCCTGAGATTGTGGGTTCGAAACTCGCTGCCTACATTTTTCATTAATTCTCGTTTTGGTGCAAATGGTTTTTTCATTAATTCTCGTTTTGGTGCAAATGGTTGTCACGCCGGCCGGCGTGCCACCGGTTGTACCGGGTTCAACCGATACCGGTCATAAAACCGGCGTGACACCACCGGTATGACCGGCATGATCGATATACGAATCTCTAAGTAAAATGACTTTATTTTAGAGAATTTAATTGATAAAAATTTTATTTTATTATTTATTTTATTAGTATAAAAGTTAAATATTAATGTTATTTGTTGGATTCAAGTATAAATGTTTAATATTGACGTTAAATGTCATGTTTAAATATGAGTATTTATAATTTTATTTGTAATATGAACCGGCATGAACCGGCACAAACCGGTATGTGCCACCGGTTGAACCATTCCACTGGCTAAACCGGCACACTGGCATAAACCAGTTTGACAACCTTGGGTGCAACAAATTAGGGGAAAGGGTATTTTGCTGATTACACAAAAACACGGTGGCAAGGCCGAGAAATAAGCTGAAAACCCTAGGGGCATTCTTGTCTTTTTAAAGCTCACAGTATATAAATGTTTTAACCCTAACCCTAACCCTAATCAATCCTAGCAACACCGCCCTTTCCTTCTTCTTATGCTTTGGCACTAATCCTCTAGCCGCAACCAGAGACTGAGCAAAAATCTGAATAAGAAAATTCTTTCGTCTCGCATCCCTATTCTTCCTCTCTCTCGAAGGACGAGAGGTCTGAAAAAAACGACGACCCTATCGCACTCCCTCCGACGACTCGGTTCAAGTCAATCCGACGCGGGGAACTCCGATTTAGGTAAAATCGGCGACATGCACAACCCTTTTATCTCTGTTTCTCTTATTATTATTTGGACTCTACTAAATTTTCTGGTTTTTTGGTTATTTGCGAGGGGGAAGTGAGATCGACAGCGCTCGGACCTCGTCGGTAGGGATAGCGAGCCTTGCCGCCGACTGAAATGGGGTAAGCTTGGAGTTTTTTATTTCATTTTTGCTTTGTTGTTTTTCGTATTCTGACCTTTTTTTTATTTCTGGGTTTTCTTCTGGATTTCGGTGGGAGGAGAAGAGACGACAGACGGCGGCGACTATGGGCTTGGTCGCTGGCGAGGGCGACCTCAGAACCGACGACAAACCGCGGTAGGCTTTACGGATTTTGTTTTTTTTTTTCCGGTTTAGATCTACACTGAATGTTTTTCTTTTTCTTGCAGATATGACGTGAGTCCAGATCTGGGTGAGGTTTGCTAACCCTAACTTGATGGGATTAATGGGATGTAACTAAAATAAAAAAAAACTCGGTGATTTATAGTTTTGTTTATCGATTTCAGTCTTGAAAAATGGCTTTTGTTGATCTTGACTTGCTAATCCGCGAATATGGGTATTTTATATGAAGATTATTTTTTATGAATTTAGGAGTGATTTATAGATCTGTGTTTTTGGTAAAAAAATGGTTGCTTAAGTTCGCTTTAGAATCTTGACTATGCCAATCGGTTTCATAAAAGACATCATTAGTTTTATTTATAACAGGCTAAATCATTAATTATGACAACCACTCCTTGTGATTTAATTAGACTAATAATGACTGCAAATCGCTACTACTGCTTGTGTTTTAATTAGATTAGGGTGTTTTTTTTTGTTGATTTTAAAAAACTAGTGAGAGTTTGTGAATCTGAAATTTTTTTGTGTTTATGGTTTGCTAGATCTGGATTTTGATTTAGTTTGCTTATGTATGATGATCTTGTTTTTATTGTGTTGTTGCAAGGAAAAGAGTTTTTGAATCTCTGTATGTTTTCTTTTTCTCCTCCAATCCCCCCCCCCCTCCTCAACAATGAATCCAATAAGCTCATTTATACCAAAAGGAGTGTGCCACGTGTCATTTGTTGATTGGTCGTTGCTGAGGCTGAAATTGTGTTGTCTCTTCTTGATTGGTCGAATTTTAAGGCCGCATCTCAAGATTCCACCTACAAAAGTCGGTTCTGACATGTCAAGTAGAATGTGGGCTGAGTCAAATTTGGATAATGTTGGGCCGACTTGGGCCTGGAGTTATTGGCCGATCTGGACTTTGTTTGGGCCGGGTTTGAATTTGGCATCAGATCTGGAATTGGACTTTCACCCTTGGGCCTGAACTAGGTTCAAGATTTTAGTTTGGGCTACAACGAACATGTTTTCCTATCTTTTATTTTTGCAGGTACACAATTTGTTTGCGCTTAAAGTACGAGGATAATGACTTCAATTTGTTGAGTCTAATATGTTTGTAATTAGTTTATTGTAATTAGTTTTAATTCTTTATTATGGTGTCTTTTTTTTTATTTCTGAGTGATATCATTGGAGAAAAATAGTTAAACTTACAATTCTACCCAGGACCGGTAAAAGACTCTAAAGAAGCCACCCCAAAAAAATCAAAAGATTCTACCTCTAAAGGATACAAAAACAGTGCTTTACGCGCCACTCTATGGGCAGCACTGTTGGCGGATCTAAGTACCGCCCTAAACTCTATACAAACAGACAAAGAGCTAAGGATCTGATGACACTCTCGTAACGCCGGACCACCAATCGAGTCTTCTAGGATGCCTTGACGAACTTGTTTGACGACCACTTCGGAATCACCTTCGACTATCACGCGGGTCAAGGATCTTGAGGCTACGATGGAGATAGCATCTCTAAAGACTAGAAGCTCTGCCAGGTAAGGATTGACTATTCCTTGAAGCTGCAGCCCAAACGCCAACACCACATGCCCGTCTGACCCACGGATAACAAGCCCAGACGAACAACTAGTGGCACAAACAGCAGCGTCGAAGTTTTCTTCTCAATTCAATTTCTCACAATTCATCTACCATTCCCAAATCCAAAGCGTGCAACAAACTTTGCACCATAATCATTTTTTCGTCCAATTGAGACAAAACTTAACAAACTTACAGCTCAACATGGAATTGATGTTAAGATTTGCTACTGCTAATCTTAACAAATCTAATCTTACTAGCCTAAACAACTCGGTGATTACTAGTGTTCACTGACTCGTCACTGCTAGTTTCAACCAAATTTTCAACCAAAAGGATATTTATATTAAGTGAACTTGGAAGTAATTGACTTGCCACTGCAATCTCAACCAAATCTTCACAAGCATCCTTTTCAATTTATCAATATCAATTTTCTTCTTTCGAGTTTTAAGTATAGTGTGTGCCCGGACAAAATATGGTTTCTACATTAGTAAATATATGGTACCATATACCATTAGGAAGAAAACTCTATCTAGACCTCAAATTAACCGGATTTTCGGTCGTGAGACTATACTCGCAATGGAGTCACAATCTAGCGTCTATGTAAAAGCGAAATGATGTGTAAAAACGGAAGCGCCAAAGCAAAGCATAAAAGCGTAACCTATTAACATCAATAAATTTGAAACAAATATATATATATATATATGGTGTCGTATTCGGTGCACCCACTTTTTCGGGTGCACTGAGTGCACCCGCCTCATAATTGTCATTCTGACCATGCGATTCATGTCAATATGGTATCAATTGTTGCTTATGATATTATGAATAAGAAGCACATGAATTTGAAAAAAATTCATTCAAAATTTACTTTAATTTGAAGGATTTAGGATTTAGGGATTTAGGGTTAGGGTTTAGGTTTATAATTTGGGATTTTGGGTTGGGATTCAAAATTGAATGTTAAGGGGTTAGGGAAATGGATTAATTTGTTATGATTCTATGTCATATCATCATATTATATTGAGAGTACTAATTAAAGTTCAAAATTTGATGTATTATTGACGCTTTTAGAGTTGGGTGCACTGAGTGAACCCAAAAAGTGAGTGCACCGAAGTAGGCACTATATATATATATATGTGTGTGTGTGTGAAAAATATAAATAAATAAGTGAACTTGCTAATATATTAAAGTTTCCCCTCGCAAAGATAAACTAAATTAATTGAACTTTAAACAAGAATTAACCACCTTCATGCTGCCTTCGAGAAAAATAAGAGAGGAGGAAACAATCAGCAAATGTTGAGTCTATGAGGGTTATAGGCAAGCTTCCCTAATAAGGGTCTTTGATCCTTATTTATTTTATTTTACTTTTGGAACACGGTTCTAAAAGTTTGTAATGCGGGTCTAAAAATTTGGAACGGTCCAAATTGAATCAACCCATAGAACACCCCTACAATATTGTCCCAAACTCGGACATCAAAAGACTAAAAAATATGTGGATTTAGTAGGTGCTGAAACTTTAAATCTAATTTGGAGTCTTAATTCCTGCCGCCCGGATTTGGCTGTGTATATAAACCTTGATCGACACCACTCTCCGTTGAGTATTAACTTACAAAGCTTTTTAACTCACAGTTCAAAAGCAGAAGCAAATTTTCCTCAACATATAAATTTGTAGCTATGGCTTCGAAAGCCTGTATTTTGTTGTTCGTGTTAGTCGCTGCTTGCCTTCTAGTCTGCAGTAGCTCTTCGGGGCTCCGACTTTCAGCAACCAAGTCATCACCGCTCCCTTCCACAGCTTCGGTTAAGGTTGACGGCGTCCATCAGGTGATTTCACGATCGGTGCATGCATGCGTTCTTTTTGACTTCCTGCCATGTTAATGAAAAAGTTGGAACTACGCAGCAGCTTGATATATATTGTTAATTATATGATTCATGTACGTAGTTAACCAGCCACACAAATATATCTAATCTAATCTAATCTAATCTAATCGTGTATTGGTTTTATATATAGGCGGCCAGTGACACCTCCCCGCCAGCACCGTTGTCTTCGAATGTTGCGGGAGTAAACGGAGATGAAATTGATTGTGACGGTGAGAAACCTCATAAAAAACAGCATGACGCACCATCTCCCGGGGACGACAACTAATACATAAATCTGATCAAACCAATACATATGGACACCAATCAAGATTGTCGTAGTTTCATGTGTCATACAAATATACTGAATTATGTGGACCTCATGTTTCATACGATTCACACTTCCCAAGCATTACAATATGTGTCGTAATAGCTAATCGTGTGACATATATACTTACTATAATAAAAAAGGGTATGCACAACCCAATTTTTCTCTTAATCTCAGTTCTTGCGGTTTGAATCATTTTCAAGTTGTAGTTTTCAATGTTGAATGAGTAGCAAACTCCTATCTTCCTTATTTAATTGCCAAGTAATTTTATCAATAAATTTGCTTAAAACATATTTATTTTTTGCTTGATTATGCTCGTGTACATGAAATAACACAATTACATTGTTAATGAAAGATAATAAATTTATTCTTAAGTAACACAAGAACAAGATTTTTTTTAATCGAATAGGTTCACGATATGGTATTTAAGTGTTTCACTCAATGTCTATTGTTTTTTTTTTTTTGTGATATGGGTATCTCAGGTTGGTCTAACAATGATATTTTTGTATATAAAAGCAGGTTGAAAATTGTACATAGTAGTATGTATTAGAACTTTTGCATGTCGGAGAGATATTTTTTACACGAAATATAGTCGACAATTTTATGTAATAGTTATGAAATTCAGAATGACAAATGTTTTAGAATCTGTTGAATATTAAAAATATCACAACACGGACAATTGCTCACTTCCATTAGGTTTTTACTTCAGAATGCAACTTTTTATGTGGAATGTGACATTAAGTTTTCCAAAACGATGACAACTAATTGCATTTGTGTTTCCATAAACTCAAAATTTTCAATATTTGGTTCAAATGATCAATTAGTTAGAAGTCAGCTAAAAATATATCGTCTATCATTTATGATATGGTTTCTAAAATGATGCTGGTCCTGAAGCATCAATTTCCTAAAGGGAAACCAATGACGACTCGTGTCAAAAGACTTTGTGAGATGTGACGAAGATGAATAACACCATCACGAACCAATTCGGAATATAGTGAATGTGGACCTCTATGTGCTTCGGGCGGTTATGGAGAACCAAACTCTGTTAACATGTTAAGAAATGAAATATGAACCACAAAAACTCGGTTTTACCTTATATCATTGAAAGGTTCAGGACTAATCCATGGGAGATCCTAAAGACTCTCCTAGCTGTTGATAGTTGTTGCTTGAGGTTGAACAACAGTACAAAGAACAAATAAGATGTCACCGAAGTTGAGGAGTTGGGAGCTAACTTCACCCAAATCCAATGTGATGTTCAAGATTTGGGGGCTAGATTGGCAAGCTTGGAGATCGGATATGAAGGGTTGCATGAAGAGCTTTTGGCACTCATCAACAACACCATCTCTACCTCAATGAACAACGCGATTGAAGTTGGGAAAGGAGACTATTCAGGCTGAGCTGGCCATCATGAAGGAGGAGATTGGAGACCTCAAGTGTGAGGTTACTCTTGTGAAGAGGGCCATGGCTAACGGACATGCCGCGGTGCAAGCCACCTCAACCATGGATATTCCAAGACCAAAGAGCTTGAAAGGGTCGATGAATGCAAGGGAGTTAGAGAACTTCCTATGGAGCTTGGAGCAATACTTCAAAGCTTTGGGTATTCGAGATGAGAATACCAAAGTAAAAAATGCACCTCTTTATTTAAGTGATGTTGATATGTTGTGGTGGAGAAGAACCCAAGGCGATATAAGTAAAGGGACGTGCGTGATGTTTTGATAGAATGAATATAGCTATCATTGAAATGAGCTTTTCTAGCGGTGCAATGTCAAAATTCTACCAATACTAGTCCAATAACAAATACTCTGATTTATAAAAACAACCCACGAAGTGATCATATAGAACCAAACAATTGTTTCTCGGTCCACACTTCTACTAGCAATGTTCGAATGAGGACTAGGACCACGAACTTAATTTCCTTCCTTTTGCTACTATCTTGCTCCATCAAACACCTTGTATCGACATGCCCTGCAACACTTGGAATTATCATATGCAGATTTCTAAATTTCCAACCAGAATGATGCATCACTCATTCTGCTCGCGGGACAGATGCATAAATCTCGAATCTTGAAGTCACAAAATGAGAGTGCAGCAAACTAAAAGTATAAAGCCCAAAATCCGAACTCTGAAACCAGTCTCTGATATCCATTGTCGAAATCGACTAATTTATTGACATGATATTGTTTGCTTAAGGTCAGTCCATACGGGTTTACTTTTGAGTTCGTTTCGAAAAGTCCTCATACTAATGGAGGTTGGTGAACAAATATATACATAGGTTCTTTCTATCGTGTTGGCAATGTGGTACTGGATTTATACCAAAGAGATTGATTTTTCGTCACAAGCTTCACATCGTTTTAGCTATTTATTGGAAGCTATCTCTAGAGTCAACGTAGTAACAACCCCGTGTTTATCTCCACATTCTCCCCTTCTATTCACCATCTAGGTTACCTTCCTTGATTAAATGAATAGTATACTTTGGGTTAGTGAATTGTGGATTGGGGTTCACCAATTAGGAGTATAGTAAAACTCATCGTACGGTAGTATAATATACGCCCAGTTGTACGCTAGCCTTTCCATATATTATATATATATATATATATATATATATATATATATATATATATATATATATATATATATATATATATTGGATTTTGGTTTGTTTTTTTAGGTTCAAATCGGCGGCAAGAGACTGGCGAGGAAGACATCAAAGATGCAAACCATGGAGCCAAACGTTGAAGACGCTATGAGACAGCTATTAGCATAGATGCCTTAGGTGGGAGTTATGCTTCTAACCATGTGCTGATCAGAGTTCGAGTTCTCGAGCGCAACAGAGTTTGGGTTCTGAGTAGGTTTTGAAACTTTAAATCTTGAGTTTGGTTGCATTGTATACCCAAACCTTTAATTAGTTAACTTTAATTCCATCGGCCTCTCCCATCCAAACGAGCATCCATCGATATATATTTATATATAAAAATCTATGATCTCTGTTAAAGTAAACTAATGGAAGAGAGTACGTGTATATGTGTTAATGCGATAATATATCCTATATAGAATTCAAACTTTGATTAGCTGACGAGACAGTCTATAGGTCTGACAAATATTCTCAACTCAAAAGAAACAAAAGGAAGAGGGTTTGTGTATCCGGACTTCGCAATTTGGCCTAAGGATTAACAACAAACTATAGCAGAAAGGATTACGTACGAAAGCTAATTCTTTACATTCCTGTTTCTCACGCAAAATCAAATTTGGAGTCTTAATTCCTAGTCGTGTGACAGATATACTTATTATAATAAAAAGGGTATGCACAACCCAATTTTCCACTTAATCTCAGTTCTTGCGGTTCGAATCATTTTCAAGTTGTAGTTTTCAATGTTGAATGAGTAGCAAACTCCTATCTTCCTTATTTAATTGCCAAGTCATTTTATCAATAAATTTGCTTAAAACATATTTATTTTTTGCTTGATTATGCTCGTGTACATGAAATAACACAATTACATTGTTAAAGATAGATAAGAAATTTATTCTTAAGTCACACAAGAACAAGATTTTTTTTTAATCGAACAGGTTCTTGATATGGTATTTAAGTGTTTCACTTAATGTCTATTTTTTTTTTTTGTGATATGGGTATTTTGACATCTCAGGTTGGCCGAACAATAATATTTTTGTTTATAAAAGTATGTTGAAAATTGTACATAGTAGTATGTATTATAACTTTTGCATGGCGGAGAGATATTTTTTACAAGAAATATAGGAAAATGTAAAAGTTATGCAATTCAGGATGACAAATGTTTTATAATCTGTTGAATATTAAAAAAAATAACCACACGGACAATTGCTCACTTCCATTAGGTTTTTACTTCAGAATGCAACTTTTTATGTGGAATGTGACATTAAGTTTTCCAAAGGAGGTTGCTATTTGCCGCCAACCAAATTGCTATTTGCCGCCAAACAAAAAAAAAAAGAGTATATATATACATCTTTGGGTAAGGAGTTTCACAATCTACAACATATCCAACTTTCAGAGAACGTATTGAATCAGAAAAATTCAACTCTCGCCGGAAAAGTCGCCGGAAAATCATCGGGAAAGCGTATCCTCGACATATACTGCGTACACGCATCAATGAATCATCACTAAGCAGGTGCGTAATTTTTTTTAGTTTCGAACAATTTTTCCGACGATTTGAAACGAACAGACTGTGGGCCGAAAATTTCCGGCGGCCTGAACCTGGCTGGGCCGAAAATTTCCGGTGGCCGGAACCTGGCCGGGCCGAAAAATTCTGGCGGCCGGAACCAGGCTGAGCCGCAAGATATTTTCGGCTCAGCCTGGCTCCGGCCGCCGGAATTTTTCGGCCCACCATCTGTTTTTGCAATTTTCCGGAAAAATTCGATTTTAGGAGTTGAATTTAGATTTTAGGAGTTGAATTTAGAGTTTAGGAGTTGAATTTAGCGTTTAAGAGTTGAATTTAGCGTGTAAGAATTGAATTTAGAGTTTAGGAGTTGAATTTAGCGTTTAAGAGTTGAATTTAGCGTGTAAGAATTGAATTTAGAGTTTAGGAGTTGAATTTAGCGGTTAAGACTTGAAATTAGCGTTTAGGTTCACAGGAATATTGATGTATTATATTGTAATTGTAGGAAAAATGTCAGAGTTGTTACCGACCGATCATGATTACACACAGGAATTTGAGAATGGGATCCATTATGCAAGTGTGGAGTTAGCTGAGTTAGCTGCAAAAACAATCGCTCAGCAGTGTGGGTTCTTTATTATTAGAGGAGCATGGAAACCGAATACTGTTGGACAGAATCCTGTTACTGCCCTCTGTATGTATTGCGACAGAAGTAGTAGGATCGTTAAGTCTTATAAACCAGACCCTACGAAGGAGACGCGTGGGAATATTAGTTCGAAGGGTACTGGTTGCCAGTTTCAGATATGTATAAAGGAAGTATGGCAAAAGGATGGTCCAAACACATGGGTCATGGTGGGAGTGACAAGTCGTGAAACCGGAGCTAATAGAGGGTTTCACAACCATGAAAAGGTGTTGTATCCAGAACATCACCGACACAACAAACAGTTTAGTGAGGCTGAAAAAGAGAGGTTAAGATTAACGAGGAAGGCGGGGGTGAGACCAAATCAGCAGAAGACGACACTCAATACTGAAGGGGGTGTGCATCATGATATCAAACAGATGTACAACATAAATTCGAAGACAAGATTGGATGAGATGGGTGAAATGGATGCGATACAGTTTGCGCTTCACGGAGCTGAACATCGTGGGTACCATATCTGTTTGCAAAAGGACTCTAATAATGTGCTCACTAATCTGTTTTTTGCGCACCCGACGTCCATTCAGATGTTGCATGCATGGCCGTACGTCATCCTCATTGACTCGACCTACAAGACCAATAGGTACGGCTGGCCATGGGTTGAGATTATTGGGGTTACTCCAGTGAAGACGAATTTCAACATTGCACGTGCAATTATTAAGCAGGAAACAAAGGAAACATATGAGTGGCTGCTGCGATGTATTAAAGGGTTGCTCGGTGATACGGTTCCGAATGTCATTGTGACAGACAAAGAAGGTGGTTTGCTTGCTTCTATTCCTGTGGTCTTCCCTCTCCCACATACTGGAGACCTGACTGCTGAACCAGATTCTCCGCCTCAACATGACTAAACACGTAGCTACTCAAATAAGCAACCGCCGATGTACGGCTGTAGCAACTGATGACCCCTCGATCTCCAGCCCCCGTCCAAAGCAATAGGCAACGTGGCCACGAAAGCTCCTAATGAGGCTAGGATCCGTAGGTCCACCAGGACACTCACCAACAAGCTCCCACGGTGGAGGACCACTCGAACGTCCTCACCTACTCCGTCCAGTCCCCGAGCTCTCTGTCTCCTGACGAGCAGGTGGTACGAATCGCCCAGCTCGGTCCCTATACATAGCAGGACGTGATGTTGCCGTACGAGACGGCACTCGTCCATGTCCACGCGTAGGTGGAGGGACCTCGATATCCTCATCACTATCGTCCTCATCAAACTCAGCCGAGACCACTCTCGATGCAGCACCCTGGTTCCTCCCATGGGAACCAGACGCCCGTGATGCCGAACGAGAAACTACAGTAGGAGCCTCTAACTCATCCTCCCCCTAAATTTGCCTGTGACTGATGTCCAATATCTCGAGAGCGCTTATTCTCCTTATTCTTCCTTCGTGCTGATGCATCAACAATCCTACCATTGAATCTATACAACTTATCCCCACCCGCATCACCCGCATCATCCATATCTAATTATCTACAAATTTACAAAATATCATACTTAGATGCGCACTAATTAATTAATTTTCTATTAACTAATGTAATATTAACATTAATTGTTAATTAATCACAAATTAATTTAATTTCTATTAACTAATGTACTATTAAAATTAATTGTTAATTAATCACAAATTAATTAATTTTATATTAACTAATGTAATATTAACTTTAAATGTTAGTTAATCACAAATTAATTAAATTTCTATACTAATTAATCACAAATGTACTGAATATTAACATTAATTGTTAAATCAATTCTTAATTAATTAAAATTCCATTAACTAATCTAAGTAATTAAACATTCAAACGCCTATTACTAAAAAAACATTTATGGACCAACTTAAATAAATATTAACACTAATTGCTAATTTCTATTAACTAATTAAGTAATTTTTTATTTACTAATAAGTAATTTTTTATTTACTAATAAGTAATTTTTTATTTACTAATTAATTATTGTATTAAATTAAAATAAAAACTGGCCGGGCCGAAAAAATTATGCGGCCGGTGCGCCGCCGGGCCGAAAAGAGTTTGCGGCCGGTGCGTCGGCCGGCCGAAAAAAATTTGCGGCCGGCGCGACGTCGGGCCGAAAAACATTTGCGGCCGGTGCGACGGCCGGCCGAAAAATTCTTTCGGCTCGACGTCGCTCCGGCGGCAAATTTTTTTCGGCCAGCCGACGAACACGCCGCCGCAAATTTTTTGGGCGGCATGGTCGGCGACCGGCCGAAAAAAATTTGCGGCCAGGTCGTCGCCGGGTCGAAAGGTTTTTTTCGGGCCGCAGGTTTTTTTCGGCCCACCCTTTTTTTTGCCG